CCCCTAAACACACCTCCTCCCATTGCCTGCCTCAATTCAAGCATCAATTCATAATTTCTCATCACAGCAGCCTTCCTGGTCTCCTTGCCGCCAGTCCCACCTCCACCCTACCAACTCCAGTCCATTCTCCACGCTGTGCAGGAAAGGATGTTTTGAAAATGCAAATATTATCTCCTACTCTCCGGTTTAAAATCTTTCAGTGGCTCTCTAGTCCCTTAGGATAAAATTCAAACTAGTAGCACGGCATCTAGAGCCTTTTAGGATGTGGCCCTTGGCTCTTTACCATCGTGTTCTCTCTCTCCCCCCAGCACCATATATTTCAGCATCTTGCAGTACTTGTTATTCACCAGTGCACTCTGCTAGTCCACATTTTTAGCTTTTGTGCATATGCCATATGTTGCTTCTTATGCCTTATGCCTGGCGTGTTCTCCACCACCACCAGCCCTCCTGTGTTCCAACGCCACATGCCTAGCACACTCTCTTGATTTCCCCCTACTAGACTATACGTTGCAAGTCTTATAGTCTTGTTAATCTCTATACTTATACAGTATTTAGCACATAGTAGGTATTGCATAAATGTTGTTGGAAGGATGGATCGATGGATGGATCGATGGATGGATCGATGGATGGATGGATGGATGAAGTATGTGAATGAATAGATGGATGGATAGCTAGATGAATGAAAGAATGGATGATGAGCCCTGGCTGGGTAGCTCTGTTGGTTAGAGCATCATCCTGATAAGCTAAAGTTGCAGGTTCGATCCCCAGTCAGGGCACATACAAGAATCAACCAGTGAATGCGTAAATAAGTGGAACAACAAATCGATGTCTCTCCTCCCTCTCTCTTTCTAAAATAAATCGGTAAATAAAATGTTTTTTAGAAAAGAATGGATGGGGGATGGAAGGTTGGATCTATGATGTGTGGGCAGACAAAGGATGGGCAGATAAGTGGATGCATTGGTGGACAAATGGTTGCATGGGTGGGTGAAAAGATAGATGAATAACTTGGTGGGTGAGTAAGTGGGTGTACAGATGGGTAGGTGGATAAATGGGTGAATGGATAGATAGTGGCCAGTGCAGCCACAAAATAGGTAAAAATCATTTCACTTTTGTGAAGACCCCGGTTGATTATTGTCACCAGTCAACAAAATTAAGACTTATGAGTTCCGACCAGGAAAACAGGAATTAGCTAATGTGGGAGAAATGAAAATAATTCTCCAAGAAAGAGGATGCTGACCCAGGACTTCTGTGCACCTTTTAGATCTTCTCAGACTTGCTGTCTGTCTGGCTTGTTTCAAGACACTGAACTGCTGAGCCTCGGATTCTCTGCATGATTAAGTGGAGATAGCAGTGCCTGTGGCCTTTCCCTATCTCTGCGAGAGTCACGGGGGTGCGCGGGACGGTGCGTACAAAGCGTGGCAAGGCCTTCGGGGAAGATCCGTGCTTGTGAAGATACACATTTAATAACAATAATCACACCTTGTATTTGAATCAGGCTTTGTACTCTTCAAAGCTCTTTCACGTACGTTATCTCAGGAGGCTCTCCAAACAGTTCTGGGCAGGTGTTATCCCCATTCTCAAGCGAGGAGACTGAGGTGCGGGGTGACTAAGTGACAGGGTTCCTGTCGGTGAGCAGCGGGTCTGCTGGCTCGGAGCCTGCTGCACGCTTGGCTGGCAGCCTATTTCAGACAGACTCCCTACTTCTCTGCCTCCCGAAGAGCCCCTGGCCCTCTTCTTGCCGACTCAAGCCCGGTATCGGTTCGGTTCCTCTAGATTTAGCTGTAGACGCCGATCCAGGTGCAGCAGGGGAGCGGCGGGGAGGGGCCCAGGCTCATACGTGAGGGCGCTCCTGAGAGGCAGGTGGCCCTGTGCAGCTCCCACCCCAGCCCCGTGCCAAACCGCGTGCCATGCATCGGGCATCTCCTTTGCCTCTGCCGCATTATCCTCCCTCCTCTTTCTCTCCATCAGCCTTGCTGCCCATCGCTGTGGCCTCCTGGGCCAGTGCAGTCCTCCACCTCCCACTCCCGTCTCTTCCTTCCCTCTCCTCTTCCTGCGACTTGTCCCACACTCTCAGCTGGTCCTGCCTCAGCCTTGGCCCTTCTGCAGGCTCAGCCAGCCAATCAGAGCTCTGGATTGTTCCCCAGAAACCAGCCAATGACATGCACTCTGAAATCTCCTCACTTTTGCTCCTTTGTTGCTGCCCCCAGCCCACCCTGGGCTACCCCCGAGCCGTGCTTTTGCGTGTTAGGCTGCTGGGACTGGTTCTACGAGGCTGAAATCATGCTGTCGGTGAGCTGCGTGGTCAGGGTGGGCTTTCCCACCGGCCTCAGGTCAGCACTCACTCCTCACCGGTGAGAGAAGAAGCTGTCGTCTCCAGCGCTCCCTTGCCTCCCACACACGAAGGCAGCCCCATGGGCCCTTCCATCAGCACCCTCTTTCCCTCTCCACGGGGTGGCATCCCAAGCAACCAGCCCGGCTCCATCCTGGGCATGCCTTGGGCAGCATGCCCATGCCCTGTGGACCTTCCGTCGGGGACGCTGGGATGCTCCCACCAGGCCGCCTTTCTCCCCAGTTGCTGTCGGGCCTCCCACAGCCTGACTCCAAGCACCTTGGCCTCTCCCCGAGGGAGGATGTGATGGGTGTGCCCACAACAAGTCTCCGGCAGAGACAATAGGACAGGAATGCATTAGCTTCCGAACAAACACTGTGTGGGCTCGCACAATTGCCTTGGATTCTCGTCCAAGAAACACATTTCGCTGTTCGAGGGCGAGGGTGGCTGGCCTGCCCCAGCCCGCCCACGCCCCTCTCTGTGCCAGAGACTTTGACAAGTAGGCTGCTCCTTCCCCCACCGCAGGGTCCTCAACCATCAGGGACGAGGAAGCCCCTGCTTCTCCAACGGACGGAGGGCTTTTTTTTCCCGAGGGGTGTGGCAGAAGAAAAGGGAAGGCAAGGCCTTCCCTTAGGGGTCCCACCCTTCCCGCCACATTTTTTAAGGCCTTTGTTTTGAAGTAAATATACCTATAAGCAGAACGGGGCTGTACTCACTGGTCGTATAGTTAACAGGAAAAAGAGAGAGATAGGATAAACACTACTCTCGGAGGGATCCGCTTCCCCCCGTGCGCGAGGGGTGTTTACAAACTCCAATAA